TCCGACTTTACTACTTTCCTTACTGGTTAAAACTCCAGAAGCCTATGAAAAAATATTTTTTAAAAACCAGAAGTCTATGAAAAAATATTTTTTTGAAAACCAGAAGTCTATGAAAAAAATATTTTAAAAAATCTACGCTTATTAGAAGATAATAAACAATATTTTAATCCATTTAATCCACGCCTATTATAAGGCGTTGAGAAAAATATTTCTAAAATTCCACGCCTATTAGGAGTCATTGAAAAAATATTTTTAAAAATCCACGCCTATTAGGAGACATTGAAAAACATATTTTTGAAAATCCATGCCCATTACAAGGTTTTGGAAACAATATTTTCAAAAATTCATGTCTATTAGAATCCCATAATAGTATCATCCCAGTGTGCATACCGAAAAAAAAATCCTCTACGCAACTAAAACCTCATTGCGGAATGTGCACAGATGCAGCAAAAAAACTCATTAAAGAAAGCACTCTTAAGTTGCACGACAACATCTATATTTGGCTAGTCCTCCTCATCCTTGTAGCATCTCTCATAAGAAAAAATCTAACATTCCAACGTCTCTATTCGGCGACATAGGCTGAGGAAACTAACACGGACGAACAACAATTGCAACATGTTCACCAAAAGAAGCCGCATAAAAATACACTTCGAAGTGCGTATGCAATACGAAACGAAAGGAAAAGGGTAATAAAAAAATAACGAACATGACGACAAGGAAGGAAAGAATGTTTTTTTTTCAGAAATTCATATTTGCAACATATGTATTAATATGGATGGTATCCGGAATGGGAAGATTTGGTGAGAGAGGAAACGAGAAGAGAAGTGTTGTGGCATTTGATTGCGTAGATGAATTATTTTCGGTACAGAACATGTTGCCACTTTGTTATTTCTTGGTTAGTGGAGGAGCCACGCATATGAAGATTGTTATATAAGATACATATATTCAAGAGAATGCAGGGTTGCCACTGTAGATTCCAAGGTCCTTTATCAATCACAGATAAAACATAATCCAAGTTCAGCTCCTCAAAATTTTACTGGAACCTTGAAATAGAGGCAATTTGGAAATGGAACCCCTACTACGATTTCAGTAATGATTTTAAATATCCCGTGAATCTTTGGAAAAATTCCAGAAATGGCAACTCTTCCCGAAGTCATATTTCACATCATACACATGTTTTTTATTTCATTCATAACTCTTGTAATCGTACGCACATTCATTTACTTTGTACTTCACAATGCCAGACATCTAGTCTGAATAACCAACTCAAACACACACACGCACATACTCTCCCATACAAAAGTACAAACAACAAATTTGCAATAGCAGTTTTGGGTGTGGGTGTGTGTAATAAAACATAAAATAAAAACTTAATTAACTTTATAATAATTTTATGCAATTTACAACTGAATAACGAAAATAATTATTTGTTATAGTCCTTAATGCTAGCTGTTGTATGTGTGGGGGCGGATGAATGTGCTAGTAATAATTATGTCTACACGAGTTTATATAATTGTGTGTATGTGTGTGATTGCCTGCAATTGTGTTAATGTTTGTATTTGACATTATCTTGTATTTTAAGAGTTACTTGAATTGATTTTTGTACTTCAATTGGCAGTGGTTTAATGTTGATTTAATTATTACTGTTCAAGGATCTGTAAATTCCGGAAATTTTACGAACCCCAGTAAAGAGAGAGGGAGGGATAGAGTATTTGTTTAATTCAAAATTATTTAATAAATCCAAAAATATTACAAACAAATTGGCCTGACGACATTTGACATAATTAAATTTTCAAAATAAATTTCATACAAATTAGTTCGGAAATTTGCAAAATAAATGAAGTAGTAATGTTTGTAATATTTGATTGGGGGAATAATTTAATTTGGGATATCTGTATATTATTGAAATGGTAATCAATGGACATTTTGAAACTACACTTTTTAATGGCCATTGAAAAAATATTTTTAAAAACCCACACCTATTAGAAGACGTTGAAAAAAATATTATTAAAAATCCACGCCTTCCACTACTATTAGTAGTCTTTGAAAAAAAATATTTTCAACCAGTGAAGAACGGACGGGGCCTACTATATGATACCCTTCACCACTTTGGGTATATTCAACAGATGGAATCCTAACAGACGTCGCATTTTTAAAGGACAATTAACATGAAATTAAACATGTCATTCTGCAACCTATACAAAATTTTGGTCAGATATGGAGTTGCTTCTTACAATGGGACTTGTCACGTGTTACACTTATTTCAGTATGTTTTGTGCATTCGGCCACATTTTGAGTTCTTCATATATAGGGACATTGGTGCACCATTTATATAAAATCGGACGAAAATATATATGGGAGTTATATCGAAATCTGAACCAATTTTCACGAAATTTAACACACATCTTTCTAAACGTAATTCAGTACGCTATGACAAATTTCGTGTAAATCGAAGGATATATAGGGACCTTGGTGCACCATTTACATAAAATAGGGCGAAAATATATTTGGGATCTATATCTACATCTGAACCGATTTTTACGAAATTTAACACACATATTACTAAACTCAATTCAGTATGCTGTGCCAAATTTCGTGCAAATCGAAAGATATATAGGGACTTTGGTGCACCATTTATCTTATATCGAACGAAAATATATATGGGAGCTATATCAATATCTGACCCGATTTTCAGGAAATTTAGCGCACATCATTCTAGGCTTATTTCAATTCGCTGTGCCAAATTTTGTGCAAATCGAAAGATATATAGGGACTTTGGTGCACCATTTATTTTAAATCGGACGAAAATATATATGGGAACTATATCTAAATCTGACCTGATATTCAGGAATCTTCGCACAAATCATTCTAGCCTCAATTCAGTACGCTGTGCCAAATGTCGTGCAGACATCACTCTAGGCTCAATTCAGTACGTTATGCCAAATTTCGTGCAAATCGAAAGATATATAGGGACTTTTGTACACCATTCGGATGAAAATATATATGGGAGCTATATCTTAATCTGAACCGATTTTTCCAAATTTCAATAGGGTTCGTCTTTAGGCCAAATGAATGAGCTATGACAAATTTCATCCTATTCTAATAATAAATGTGACCTGTACTTTGTTTACAATTTAACATGGACGGACAGAAAGACAGGCGGACATGCATAAATCGACTTAGAAAGTGATGCTATGCATATTCTCAAAAGGAACCATGGGTATATCTCGTTTCCTTTTACCTGTTACAAACATATGCACAAAGACATAATACGCCAATTAATAGTCATGGAATATATATTTAAAAAATCCACGCCTCTTAATAGCCATTGAAAAAATAATCAATCCATGGAAAAATAATTGTTAAAAGAATCCATGCCCAATGGTAGTCCAAGAAAAAAATATTTATAAAAAATTCACACCAATTACTAGTTCCGAAAAAAAATGTTTAAATATGCACCCCTATAAATAGTCATTGAAAAAAGTATGGGGTCGATAGTTATTTTTACCAAATTAGAAAACATTAATATTGCAAACAATTTATAAAAAATTGCATTTCTGTATTGGAGAACAATTTGACCTACTTTTTAAATTTGCATTTTTTAATTAAATTCACATTTTCTTAACTGTCTCCTATCTTAGCACAATTTTTCATTTATAATTTACATTTTCTTTTGGGAAAGACATTCAATATGGGGGTTTCCATTTTTTGCTTTGTGTTGAGCAAACACTAACAACAACTGCAGACAAGTGGAGTTGTTAAACTTCCTTTTTCGAAGAGATAATGCAAATATATTTTGTTGTAAAGAAACAAAAAAAAAAAATCCAAAACAAATAAAGTTTTCCCTGTAATTTCCTTGCACTGCAACACTACAAGAATATGGAGATAGAACCCCAAAAAAAAACTTCCTCCAGAAATAACATTTGTTACCACAAAATTCATTTCTTCTCCGTTGCCTTTTTAGTTTTCTAAGTCCTTATGACTAATTCGTTTTGTTGTTGTTGTTTTTGTTTTCTTTTTGAAGTTCAGGCTATATAAGCTAAGAAAATTGGAAAAGTGAATCAAGGAGAAGAACTACAACATATGTCTAAACATATTTCGCCCCCATATCCTGCTGAAAGGATTTTGCCGAACTTTATTGAATTTCCAAAAATACACAAATGTCCCAAAACTATTGTTATAGAGTTATAAAAATGCCATAAAGCTTCTGGCAAGGGGGCGAAAGTTATTGTTCACTTAGTGCCGAAGTTTTTGCTATGCAACACGTACTGCCACATAATAAGCCTCTAAGGTCCTTTACAAGGTGGTAACAAATTTTTGTGTAAATAGTTTAAAAGAAATTGCAATAACAATAGTTGTAGACAAATAAATAAAGATAGATTTTGGAAATTTTTCGAAAAAAGAAAGAAAATCGAAAATTATAAAAAATAAAAATAACATATTTGTAAGGACAGACTATAAAATAGGCAAACATGAGTAGATTTTTTAAAGATATTTTTTAAGGACCTGTACGCTTTTACAAGGTGTGAATTTTTTGAAAATATTTTTTCAAGGACATATACAATGTGTGGATTTTAAAAATATTTTATTAAGGACCTATACAAGGTGTGGATTTTTTAAAAATATTTTTTTCAAGGATCTATCTATACAAGGGGTGGTTTATTAAAAATAATTTTTCAAATAAAAATATTTTTTTCAAGGATCTTATAGAAGGCGTGAATATTTTACTATCTGATATCAATTTTTTATTTAATCAGACTCCTAAAACTATGTTTCATTTCCTTGTTTTTCAGGTTATAAAATAAACACCGAATAAAGCATCTTCAACAATATTAGCCTACCCATATTCTCCCCTCTCTAAACAAAGAATTCCAAACCAAAGGACATTTCAAATGCCGCTGCCGATGATGATATAACAACCATTGCATGTTTGTTGCATGTGCTAAAATAATGTTGTTGCATCATTGCAACATTTATGGTGGCATAGACTCGTTTCGTAGTCAACAACAAAAAGAACAGCAACAACAACAGAAATATCAACAAGATTCGCAACAGCGGCAAAGACTAGGCCAATACTATTCACATCGACACCAACACCACTCCAGCAGCAAGAGCACCCCGAACAGCAGCAGCGTCAACCAGCGACACCAACATCTGCATCGACAAACAGTGTCGAGTTGATGGGCCCCTGGTATATAATTGGGGCCCTCCTACTGCTATCAGCAAGAGCGGGGGACTCCACAAATAAAATCATACCGCAACAAATTGGCGGCCATACAAATGCCGCCAACGGCGCCACTGGAATGCATCATCACATACCAAAGAACTCCATTGCGACGAATGTGCTCAACGGCGGCGGCAACAACAACAACAAAGGCACAGTGCTTAGTGGCAATGGGGTTATCGTAGCCGGTGGTGGCTCAATTAGTCCATCATCGTCGCTTAACAGTAAGTATCGCATTGCAAAACGGCAATCAAGCTGGCCATTATTGACGATGCTACCTTTTGTTTTTGGAGGGCAGGGCAGTTCAGTTGTTGATTTCTTTTTTTTCGGTTCAATTGTTGTCACAAACTGTGTTTCATATTTCCCCAGTGTCTCTGTGTGATGGACCATGGTATGGAGGGTTTTCAATTTTTCGTTTGCAATATGATAAATGTTAACATATGTATATTTATTCGTTCGTTATACCCAGCACTGGCATCAAACCGTAGATGATGATGATACCCAGGAAAAATGGGTCCAGTTGCCTTGTTTTTGTGTGTGTGTTTTTTTCGACCACTATTTGTGGTGCAATGGAAAGTGGCATTTATGTAAATTTAGTTTATTCAAATGGTTGGATGTGTGTATATGTGTGTGTGTGCGACATGGGCCCACAAAAAGCTTGAATCGCAAATTTCTATAAAACCATTTACTAGCCACAATCAAACCAATCTCTGACGAACAGTGGAGATGTTGCAAATTTAATTTGGGGAACAAATTGAAAATGTTTTTCTTAAAAAAATTCTTCAATGAAAAATATTTTTTCAATGACCTACCATAGGCGTGGATATTTTAAAAATATTTTTTCAATGGCCGACCATAGGCGTGGATTTTGTAAAAAAAATTTCAATGACCTACCATAGGCGTGGTTTTTTTAGAGAATAATTTCTTAAAGGAAAGGATTTTTTCTAAGGGACTCTCAGAGCATTAAACGTGGATTTTTTGAAAGAAATTTTTCTAAAGGACCCTCAGCTTTAAGCGTGTTTTTTTAAGAAATTTTTCTAAAGGACACTCAGAGCCTTAAACGTGGATTTTTTTCAGAAATTTTTCTGAAGGACCCTCAGAGCCTTAAACGTGGTTTTTTTTAAAGAAAATTTTCTAAAGGACCCTCGGAGCCTTAAACGTGGATTTTTTAAAGAAATTTTTCTAAGGGACCCTCAGAGCCTTAAACGTGGATTTTTTTAAAATTTTTTAAGAATAATTTCTAAAGGACCCTCAGAGCCTTAAACGTTGAGTTTCCAAGAATATTTTCAAAGGACCCTCAGAGCCTTAAACGTGGACTTTTTTCAAGAATATTTTCAAAGGACCATCTGAGCCTTAAACGTGGATTTTCCAAGAATATTTTCAAAGGACCCTCAGAGCCTTAAACGTGGAATTTTTCAAAAATATTTTCAAAGGATTTCAGATCCTTAAACGTGGATTTTCCAAGAATATTTTCAAAGGACCCTCAGAGCCTTAGACGAGGACTTTTTTCAAGAATATTTTCAAAGGACCCTCAAAGCCTTATGCGTGGGCGTATTTAAACAATATTTTCAAAGGACCCTCAGAGCCTTAAACGTGGACTTTTTAAATAATATTTTGTATAGGACTCTCATTTTATCTCCTTAGGACCACAGTAAATATTATCTTTGTAATTTCTAAAGGACCCTCAGAGCCTTAAACGTGGACTTTTTTCAAAAATATTTTCAAAGGACCTTCAGATCCTTAACCGTGGATTTTCCAAGAATATTTGCAAAAGATTTCAGATCCTTAAACGTGGATAATCTCATTTTATTTCCTTGGGACCACAGTAAATATTATCTTTGTAATTTCTAAAGGACCCTCAGAGCCTTAAACGTGGACTTTTTTCAAGAATATTTTCAAAAGACCCTCAGATCCTTAACCATGGATTTTCAAAGAATATTTGCAAAAGATTTCAAGAATATTTCAAGAACATTTTCAACGGGTTTCAGATCCTTAAACGTGGATTTTCCAAGAATATTTTCAAAGGACCCTCAGAGCCTTAAACGTGGACTCTTTTCAAAAATATTTTCATGGGATCCTTAGAGCCTTAAGCATGGACCTTTTAAAGAATATTTTCCAAAGGAGTCTCATTTTATCTCCTTGGAACCACGGTAAATATTATCTTTGTTGTTTTTTCTCTATCCAACAGTTCACTGGAGTTCAGTTGTTAATACTGTCCCGCAAATTGTTATTATATTGGTCCTTTATGGGCGGTTTTTTGTTCAGCTTTTGTTTGGAATATCAACATTTTGGGGTTGTCGTATCCATTCAAGTTTTTTTTTTCGGAACCCACTGATGATGGTGATACTACTGCTTATGATATTTGGCCACTATGTGGTGCGGTATGGTAACAGAACGGTGAGGTTAGTAGAGAATATCTCTCTCACACACACAGAAAAACGGCGACAAAGAAGACCGGAAAAAAACTATCAACAGATGTTGTAAATTCACTGTGATATGTGGCATATGCGGATTGTTGGTTGGTCGGTCGGTCCGACGCTTGTATGGTCAATTATTCACAGTTACAATATGTTTATTTTTCAGAGGAGATAGTTTTTTGTGAAGAGATATTTTCGAGAAGAGAAAATAAACATATTGTCAGGGTAAAGGTTTCAAATTTGGTAACAACAAAACAAAAAGAGAACATCAACAAGAATATTTAAACGAATTTCCAAAAAAGCATAGTTTTTTGTAGTCGTTGTTGTTGTTTTATAATTTTAAAACAATTTTTTGCACATTAATGCATAAATGTGACACTTGTATGCGAATGTGATACAGTCACACTCAAAACTCGTTGGGAGTTTTTGTTGTTGATGTTGTTCTGGCTCTTCTCGTTGTTGTCCCTGGTGATGCAGATAACTTGTGTTCCACCACCAAAAAGGAGACACCACTTTGCCATGAACAATTTATGGTTATGAGAAAAATTGTATATTGGGTATAAATCTTAAAGAGTGAATCACATACATCGTACATATATAAATAAATTTGTCGAATATTTGGGGGATTTTTAATAAATCGTGATTTATTTTCTGACATGAAAAATGGAATTGAAAATAAAACTAATGGAAAAATATTAAGAATTATTTGGTGGACTTCAATAGTCATAAAATATATTGTTACAGATTAATAGAAATATTTATACCATTCACCACACTGTGGTACTTGTGCATATGTTTGTATAAGGCAAAAGGAAACGAGATAGACACATGGTTCCTTTTGAGAATATGCATAGAATCACTTTCTATGCATGTCCGTCCGACCGTCTGTCTGTCTGCCTGTCCATGTTAAATTGTAAACAATGTGCAGGTCACATTTATGATACGAATTAGATAAAATTTAGCATAGGTCACTTATTTGGCGCTATTGAAATTGGGAAAAATCGGTTCAGATTTAGATATAGGTCCCATATATATTTTCGTCCGATTTAATATAAACGGTCCCTTTATATCTTTCGATTTGCACGAAATTTGGCACAGCCTAATGATTTAGGTATAGAATGATGTGTGTTAAATTTCGTGAAAATCGGTTCAGATTTAGATATAGCTCCCATATATAATTTCGTCCGATTTATGGTAAATGATGTACCAAAGTCCCTTTATATCTTTCGATTATCACGAAATTTGGAGTAGCGTACTCAATTGAGTCTAAAATGATGTGCATTGAGCTTCGTAAAATTCGGTTCAAATATAGATATAGCTCCCATATATATATATATATATATTCGTCAGATTTAATGTAAATGGTGTACCAAAGTCCCTATATATCCTTCGATTTGCACGAAATTTGGCATAGGGTACTGACTTAGGTCCAGAATGATGCGTGCTTAGTGAAAATCGGTTCAGATTTAGATATAGCTCCCATATATAATTTCGTCCGATTTATGGTAAATGATGTACCAAAGTCCCTTTATATCTTTCGATTATCACGAAATTTGGAGTATCGTACTCAATTGAGTCTAAAATGATGTGCATTGAGCTTCGTAAAATTCGGTTCAGATCTAGATATAGCTCCCATATACAGTGGTGGTCACAGAATTAAAACATTTACTGTGGTAAACATTTTTTGATCAGCCCTCGAATCGTTTAAAGTATTTTTGAAAATTGTTTAATTCAGAACACTTCGATATACTGTACTTAAGAGATTAAGTGTGAAAATGGAAAATTATTGCATGCAAATTTTCCCAAAATAACGGTTTTTATGAAAATACATCGACTTTGAAGTGGCCATATAATTAAAACATTGTGTGATTTTTTACTTCACTGTATTTTTTGAAAATATTTTTAAAAAATCTCTTTAATTTAGTTAAATTATGTAAACTAAACATCGATAAGGTCATTTACTGATAAAAATTAAAAAAAAAATCTGTAAAATCTATCAAAATCGCCAAAAAATTGTACAGTACACCTTACATTCAGAAAATAACCCTCATTATAGAAAATAAAGTTCCGAATGCACCAGAAATTGCTAGAATTAGTAGAAAACTATAAATTATTCTCAGAATAAATAAATATTTGAAATAAAAACTGAAAAAATGGGAATTAACCTAAAAGAACGACTCAATTTCGATAGCTTTTATTGAAGAAGGCCGGAATATTTTTGCAGTATGTGAGGAAATATCGATTGATGTTGGCATTTATTATATCAAATCGATTGTTCGAGTAGTACAGAATATATTTTATCACAAAATATATCAGTCACAACAGAACGAACAGAGATCAACACCTATGTTGACGAGAAAACGTTTCTGGTACACAGCAGCATGTTTGATGGTTAACTCTTGACCCTTAAAATCTATTGAACATGACAATATTTTTCCATAATAATATTTTTTGAATAGTATAATGTCCATTTAATCTATTTTAGCCTAAAAGAAGAAAAAAAATTACAATTTGACAAATATTTAAAGTCTTGTGTTGAGCATCAAAAATACTGCTGTGTGCCAGAAACTTTTACTCGTCAACATAGGCGTTGATCTCTGTTCGTTTCGTTGTGACTAATATATTTTTTGATAAAATATATTCTGTATTACTCAAACAATCCATTTGATATAATAAATTCCAATATCAATCGATATTTTCTCACATACTGCAAAAATATTCCGGCCTTCTTCAATAAAGACTATCGAAGTTGAATCGTTCCTTTAAGTTAATTGCCATTTTTTGAGTTATTATTTCAAATATGTATT